ATTCTTACCTGCGGTGGCATCGACAGGGTCCTCAATGGATGTATACTTGTGCAGGGAAATGGACCACAGACAGTGGATAATGGCACCTGTAGACCCGATGAATAGAGCACCATACGTATTTATAACGTTGGCCGAAGCACATACCGCCACCTAGATTAAAAATGAAGCCATTTTAGTCAACTGGCAAGTGCTGGTGAAGTAAAATTCAGAAACATAAGTCAGTATGTACATTTGCTACAATAACTGACGTGCATATCTAGACGTGTTTAGTGTTTTTTAATCCAACATTTCATGACTAGACACGGTGACGGCACACTCAATTTATATTAACTTATTTTATATTGCCACCAACGCAGTGGACAAATACAGGACAGGAAAATACTCATTTTTACTTGAGTTAAGTGAGGAAAGTCGTGTAAAGTGCACAAGAGGCACAAGATCGGTGGTATGTCAGGAATCGAACCCGGGACCTCTTGGTTCCGAGTCCAGCACTCTGCCGCCCTACGCCACACAACCTCCCCCCCACACACACACACACACAAACGCCACACTTACAGTTCCTCCCAGGCATCCATTCACTACGATACACAGCACGTAATAGTCATTGATCCTTTTGTGAACCAGGCGCTCAAACAGAATGGTGGCTAGACCACCAGACGCGCAGGCCAGACTAGTGTTCACAGCTGAGCGGGCCATGGCACCAGCGTCTCCGGGATGAGATATCGCACCCTGCGAGCTGCTATTGAAGGCTAAGAAGCCGACCATCAGGATGAAGAAGCCTGTTTAAAACAGCATATTGAAAATGAGTTTCACCTTGTTATGGAATGCACTAAATATGTTTTACTTAATAAGCTATATTTACATTTCTCGAATCAAGTACAACAGATTTCAAGAGTATCAGTGCTACAGACAGATTTAAATATATCTTTACATGCAATGATTCCCACCGTGCAAAAATAGGTAAATATACACAAAAGACTGCTTTGTTGTTAGAAAAAATACCCGAAAGTCGTGACTAGCCCCAGGGGTGGGTATGACATAAATAAACTACAACACATCGCATCGCCCGCGGTCCTGGCCCTCCAGCGAGTCGGGGTGGAGTCGGATCGCCCTCCGGCCTTTGGGCAATACGACCCGCGGTCGGGCCGATACCTTGGGTGATACGGAATACCCCGAATTGTATTCTATATTTACATGAAGGTTTGTCAGAAGCGGCAATAATCATGACTATTTTCTTTATACGAAAGGTACAGGATGAATGATTGTTGAATGTGTTTCTTACCCAAGGTGACCAGGGCTGGAGAAGATTCAGAGATGGCGTGTTCCTCAACATCCTTGGCCACCTTTCTGCGGCCCAGCACCAAGGCCCCCATCAGGGCAGCAGTCCCCCCGCACATGTGCACCACGCCGCTTCCAGAAAAGTCCTGAGGAACTCACAATAACGTCACATTAGTCTACGTGTGGAGACAGAACAAGGCTCACAGACAATAAAACAGTAAAAACCTTATGCCATGGCAACATCATTTTTCATCATCGTCATCATGTCGGGGGATCCCGGTCCCAGATTCTCTCCCTCCAATCCCCTTTGTCCATCATGGCACCCGCAATTATAAGGTAGACCCATTCACCTTTCACGAATCGCATAAACTCACATGTGGGACATTTCAAATAGAACGCCGTTCTAGAACTGGCTTTCGCTTGCGTTGCCAACCCCCCCCCCCCGTGACATAGGCAGTTCTTGCGATCCTTTTTGCAGATTTTCAGACATGTGTAACTTTAATTTCTAAAATTTCTGACCTGCACCGTCACCTGCAGCGGTTTCCTTCCACCCAATCTCACCAGATAGCCGATTCTGGTATCTGAGAGCAAAATACAGACCATCGCAGAGAGAGGGGGACATCCCCACAAGCAAAAGCCACGTTCAACTTCCGGGTTCTAGAACGGCGTTCTATTCAAAGTGTCCCCCTGTGACGTAAGCAGTTTATGGTGAAAGTCGAATGGGTCTCTATTACATTATGTTTATTAGTTTTCTTATATTCTTATTAGCAGTATCTGTATGTTGATGAATTAGTTGTGTGGTATGGTTGTGGTCATCAGCATGGTAACTGGTGTTAATTGGGTTACATCATGTTGCAATTTTATAGCAGGGGAGATTTAAACTCTTGTCTTACCATATGTATGGATGTTTTTGAGTAAGAATTAACAGAGCAGACCTATGCGAAGGTTAACATTATGCATTTGTTTTGCAAATGTTACCATTATATATATATTTCAGTTTTCATTATGCAAACAATCCCCGGGTCCTTGCTTACCTGAAAGGAAAGGCCGTACATATCAGAGTTAAGCCAGCCCTCGCCGCTCCAGGCCCAGTGCACAACGGTCGGGTACACAAAGCCGGTGATGAGGAAAGAGTAGATCAGGTACCCGTGGTACGAGGTACGACCAACCATGGCCCCAGACACGATAGCGCAGGCGGTGGCGGCAAACGAGTACTGGAAGAATACCCAGGTCAGGTCGTAATCGCTCTGCAGGTAGCTGAGGGCGAAGTGGAATGTCCCCATGTACCCGTTGGTTGTTGGGCCAAACGCCACAGCGTATCCGAACAAGAAGTAGCCTACAGTACCAACACCTATAAAGACAAGCCAACAATTCCGTTAGTACAGTAAATGCAGCAGATAGTAAGGAAACAGCAAGTAATTTTTATGGATGACATCCTCCGTAGACTCCAAAACTAATGCGATAGGGTGAAAAAAAAACAAGTCGGGCAAGAATAACAAGATTCCTACACTTGAAAATGTAGACATCATAAACCTTGTTAATCAAGAAATGATACAAATATTGTGCTAGCTATGTTTACAGTCAAATATTACATTGACACTGAAACAACTTTGAAAAATAAGTACTTAACAAGTTTTTAAATCATTGTACAAATGGTTTTGATTCAGTGGGAATATCACATATACACAGCCAGCATCACATATAAAAGGAATTAAATACTTCACATCAAAGTAAACGGCAAAACAATAAATCAGAGCATTGTCTTGTCTCGTGTCTTTATATTTATCTGCCATCCATTTTCTTTGCCCATTTATGGCATGTTGACTACTATCAGAGGGCAACAAAATTTATTTTTTCCAAAATCAGGCAAAAATGAATGCGCGTGCTGATGTCATCCATAAAATCTACTTGCTGTGGCCTAACATAGGGAAACCAATTGCCGTTCGATGTTTTTAAAACGCCATCTAAAGCGCGCGGACAGAGCCAAATGTATAACCCACTCATGGCCGTTAAAAAAAAGGACCAATGCATTATCTATAACTTTATAACTTTATAACATTATATCTTTATTCTTACTAACTTAAAGGTGTATGATGAAGAAGAATGCGCCAGAGTTACTTGGCGATCAGGTTTGGACGGGTAGCCAAAATTATATTGCGGTATTATACGCAGTACCGGCAAACCATAAGCGGTGAAAAGGAGACAACAATACTCGTGTTACTTAGGCCTAGGGTCCTGCTAGGCTTCCTTTCTGTGCGTGTAAAGCGGGTGCGAATCTGTAGTATACGACAGAAGTAGACTGCAATGTGTAGTACGACAATTTCAAAGTATAAGTGTAAATTGGGCCTTAGTTGTCCCTGACTTCTCGCGGTCAACGACCTACTAACAGGTCTCATTATAGCGAGGTACATACATGTATTTTGTTGTTAGGCCACAGCAAGTAATTTTTGTGGATGACATCAGCGCGCATTAATTTTCGCCTGATTTTGAAAAAAAAATTCTGACACTGGTTAACAAGCCGAAAAAGGGCAAAGATGTCTGTTGCCATGTCGGAAGGTGGTAGGCAGACAACAACGAAGAGAGGAGCCAAGAAAAGGCTCCGATTTAATTTTTTTTTTCTTTCTTTGATGCAGTGATATGTGATGCTGGCTGTGTATATGTGATGTTCCCACTGAATTAAAAAAAAACATTTGTACAATGATTTAGTCAACATTTTAAAATGTTGGAACCTTGTTTTTTCGGCCTGCCTTGTTTTTTTTTCTCCCGCTTGCATTAGATTTGGAGTCTGCGGAGGATATCATCCATAAAATTGACTTGCTGTGGACTTATAACTTATAGAACGTGTCAAAGAAAAACAAAGGTAAAGCGAAGACATCACTTACAAACGTCCATGACGTTGTTGAGCAGGATGGCGTGGACGTTGGCGACCTTGACCGAGCCGACTTCCAACAGGGCGAAGCCTGCCTGCATGGTCAAGATGAGGCAGCCACACAGGATGTCCAGCAGTGTGTCCAAGCCTGTGGCGTACACTTTCAGCGTGGCACCCATGTCCGCGATGGCCGCCTCTGTGGCGTTCATCCGAGTTTCTAGTGTCGCCATTGTCCTCCGCGCGTCAAAAAACCCTTTACATGACTGATGTTTCGAAAAAAAGCCGATCCGTTACAGAGGGTGACCAGAGAGAACCTGTCGAATAGGTTCGAACGTTCTTAGTTACCAAACGGTTGACTACGCTGTTGACGTCACAGTTTGTTTACTCTCTAAATTGCATTCTAGAACAGTCAGTTGAAGAATAATGATCATTTCAAGTTTTCAAAGTCAGGTGTGTTTGAAAGTAGTATATATAATGCTACACAAACGCACACACCTGTACAATATGTACAATATAAACATTGTTTGACCACAAACTGCCCCGGCATTCATTGCGGTAAACAAACTGTGACGTAATAATGTAATAAGTTCATTCCTCAACCTCCCGATCCCGTTCACACCCGAGTGATAGTCCGTTGTAAAAAAAGTGACGAAAGGGTTTTGAGGGTCCAAGTTTGAGGTGACATTTCTCATGAACTGTCACGAAGAATCATTAAACATTAACATGGCTAAACTTGTACAGGTGTGTGTGTGTTTGTGTAGCATTATATATACTACTTTCAAACACACCTGACTTTGAAAACTTGAAATGATCTTTATTCTTCAACTGACCGTTCTAGAACGTACTTTAGAGAGTAAACAAACTGTGACGTCAACAGCGTAGTCAACCGTTTGGTAACTAAGAACGTTCGAACCTATTCGACAGGTTCTTTCTGGTCACCTGTAACGGATCGGCTTTTTTTCGAAACATCAGTCATGTTAAAGGTTTTTTGACGCGCGGAGAACAATGGCGACACTGGAAACTCTCGACGGCCGGGTGAACGCCACAGAGGCGGCCATTGCGGACATGGGTGCCACGCTGAAAGTGTACGCCACAGGCTTGGACACACTGCTGGACATCCTGTGTGGCTGCCTCATCTTGACCATGCAGGCAGGCTTCGCCCTGTTGGAAGTCGGCTCGGTCAAGGTCGCCAACGTCCACGCCATCCTGCTCAACAACGTCATGGACGTTTGTAAGTGATGTCTTCATGTCTTTACCATTGTTTTTTTCACACGTTCTATAAGTTATAAGGCCTCAGCATGTAAATTTTATGGATGACATCCTCCGCAGACTCCAAATCCAGTGCGAGCGGGTGAAAACAAAACAAGACGGACCGAAAAAACAAGGTTCCAACATTTTAAAATTTTGACTCAATAATTGGACAAATAGTTTTGATTCAGTGGGAACATCACATATACACAGCCACCATCACATATCACTGCATCAAAGTAAGAAACAAAACATTAAATCAGAGCCTTTTCTTGTCTCCTCTCTTCATTGTTATCTGCCATCCACGTTCCGGCATGGCAAAACATGCCATTTTACCCAATTTCGCCATGTTGGCCACTGTCAGAGGGCAACAAAATTTCTCGTTTTTTTCCCAAATCAGGCGAAAATTAATGCGCGGCGCGCTTATGTCATCCATAAAATAGCTTGCTGTGGTCTTAAACTTCTACTTTGAAATTGTCGTACTACACATCGTCTACTTCTGTTGTATACTACAGATTCGCGCCCGCTTTACACTCACAGAAAGGAAGCCTAGCAGGACCATTGATATCCCCTGATTGCCATGGAACCACTGTAGTAACCTAATCTAACCTATAGTAACCTTTGACACATTGCGGGTGGAAATGGGCAAAGATGTCTATTGTCCCGGAAAGTGGATGGCAGATAAATATGAAGACACGAGACAATGCTCTGATTTATTGTTTTGTCTTTTACTTTGATGTAGTAAAGTATGTCATTCCTTTTATATGTGAGGGTGGCTGTGTATATGTGATGTTCCCACTGAATCAAAACAATTTTAATAAGTAATTAATTAAAAACTAAGTACTTTTTTTTCAAAGTTATTTCAGTGTATTATTTTTCGGTAAACATAGCTAGCACAATATTTGTATCATTTTCTTGATTAACAAGGTTTATGTTTTAAAAAATTTTAAGTGTAGAAATCATGTTTTGTTTTGGCCCGCCTTGTTTTTTTTCGCCCTAACGCATTAGATTTGGAGTCTATGGAGTATGTCATCCATAAAAAAATGACTTGCTGTGGCCTTACTACATATCTGGTACATTTACTGTACTAACGGAATTGTTGGCTTGTCTTTATAGGTGTTGGTACTGTAGGCTACTTCTTGTTCGGATACGCTGTGGCGTTTGGCCCGACAACCAACGGGTACATGGGGACATTCCACTTCGCCCTCAGCTACCTGCAGAGCGATTACGACCTGACCTGGGTATTCTTCCAGTACTCGTTTGCCGCCACCGCCTGCGCTATCGTGTCTGGGGCCATGGTTGGTCGTACCTCGTACCACGGGTACCTGATCTACTCTTTCCTCATCACCGGCTTTGTGTACCCGACCGTTGTGCACTGGGCCTGGAGCGGCGAGGGATGGCTCAACTCTGATATGTACGGCCTTTCCTTTCAGGTAAGCAAGGACCCGGGAATTGTTTGCATAATGAAAACTGAAATATATATATAACTAGAAAGGCCAATATTTGCTTTGGAGCAAATATAGCGATGGGTTCACCACATTTTACGACATGGCAGGGAAAGAACGAGAAACACTAGAAAGGCCAACATTTGCTTCGGAGCAAATGTAGGAATTTCACTCCATACCCTTCCCCAAACAAAAATGAGAGATTCTAAATAAATCATACTGCAATTATACAAGGACAAGCTGTTTGAATCTCGACAGGTATTTACAAAACTGGCACTTGGCAATTATCTCCCCTTTTTTTACAAAGATACAACGACACGCACTTTAAATCTCGACAGCTTTACTTTACACTTTTGACGAGATTGTAACTACTACTAACGGAAGCAAAATTTTCACGGCCTGAGAAAAATGGACATGTTCACGGAAGTATATATTCACGGTGGTGACAGTTGCAGGAAAAAGAAAGTCCGGGAATTATTTCCTAACTGTAATGATAAGTTCACAATACAGAGGTGACAGTGAAAACCGTGAACATTGACCCCCCGCTTGCGTTGCGGTACAGTGAAAAAAAATCGGGAATTACAGCAATCAATTTACTGAGTATGTTTGCTTAGTTTCCAGATGTTTTGTACTTGTAGTTTTTAAATGAACGAAAACCGATGCGCGCACAGATGTTACTTTTGTGACAACATCAAAGTGATTTTGGTTTGTATGTTGAAAAAATACAAAAGACTAACATTCGAAGTTATTGAAATTCTTGAGTAAGAACAATCAGTTTTGGAATGTTAAAAGCAAAGCAATGGATATTAAAACGAAAATGTTAAAATTAAATGTTGAAATTGTTAAAATGTAAAATGGTTAAAATGGTTAAAATTGTTGAAATTGTTAAAAATGTTAAAATTGTTAAAAATTGTAAAAAGGATAATTAAAAATATCCAGTATTCGAACTCGTAATGTCTGGACTTGCAGCCCTGCGCGTTACCAATATTTTCCGAGCTATCTGGACACGTTTCCATTACTCTCTGCATTGTATGTCATATAAAGTGAACAACATGGCGGTAACGATCGCTTCAAATACTAGTAAGGGACTTTCTAGGAGATAGCGTTACACTCTACAATTTTGGTGATTCTTCAGAAATCGATAACAGAATATATAATACTAGTCGGTGAAGATTGTGGAAAATTGTTGATACCGTGGCGCGCGCGCGTGCGCCGACAATACACATTACGTACCGTTGTTTACAGTACTCGCGGGGCGCAGGTCATTGACCTCCCGCTTGCGTTGTTCCAACAGAGAAGAGCAAAATATCTGCCAGTTTTTGCGTCAGATTTTCAGTGTTTGTTAAAATCATATACAGGCATCCATGCAGCTATAATTCTTCCAACTAGTTCGTAGTTAGGTGAAATGTTTATAGGAATCACACGAATCGGTATCCAATATC